CAATTAAAACCTGGTTTAGCAGTTAGATAATCAGAGCTAAAGCCTCAATCCTACAGAGCTAAAACTTCAATCCTATTAAAAAGACACTTCAATATGGATCATGTGTACAGTTTCTCATGCGCACAAGCAAGGGAAAGTGAGGGACAGGAAAGCAGAGAGACTGCACAGATCCGCAGGGTGGAAAGAATCCGCTGGCACGGCATTGCATTTTAAGGCATAAAAATCACATGAAGAGAGCTAAGTCGCAGATGAAGATACAGCAAGATTTTTCTAATAATTATAAACTAAACTGTTAGATCAGAAGAAAATGATTCCTTCCCTCTCAGGTCCTGCAGAAGAACAGCCTGTTTCCCATTTGTATTTGGCTGCAAGGGGAAGCATTTGGCCTGCAGTTACATTCTGTCGGCACAGAAGGGGAATTCTGACACCCAAAATGACAATTAGTTGAACTGGAACAGTAGTTCACATATAGAAGTGATTCACACCTTTATTCTACTTAGGCAACAAGTTTGTTACAACCGAATTTACTACGAGACTCAATAATTTAAAACTAATCAATTTCAGCATTTCTTGAAAGGAATTTCGAAACTCTTAAATGAAGGAAGCAGGATCCCATTTACTGCAGACTGGACACAGACCAAGTTCATATCACTTCTTGGAAAAGCGTACTCTGGCATAGTCCAGATTTGTCCTGTTCCGCTTTAAGGGAAAAACCCTAAATAATATCCTGAAATTATAACACAGCTTACACCAAAAGGTCCAAAGTGGTTCACTAGGGGATGCACAAAAGTAATTTAGATCAACTCACATCAGATGGAGAATAGTTCTGTCCAGCTCAGCCCTTATCCCTGCTTCCACATGATGTTTCAGGTGGACAGACCAAAAAAAAAAACAAACAAAAAAAGGAAACTAACTAAAAACTTGGAGGGTTATACACACACACAAAAAAAGTACGAAAACTAAAAGACAAAGGTGCTTGATCTGGCATTTCACGGTCAGGGGTTACTAACATAACAGGCTTTACCTTCATGCTGTCCTATATCACAGCCCTAAAAGAAAACTCATCTAGGAAGATGAAACAGATGAATACACAAGAAGATGAATACACAAGAAAGTAATATCTGCCACAAAAATCTTGTATATTCTGAAGTAGTTTAAGCAATATCTCGAATGATATCCCTGCATTTGGAAGCAAGAAACACCCTAAATAACAAAAGCCAGTAAACATCAACACATTATCTAAAGAGAAGAATCTTTAGCTGCTACATTATTTCACCAGGGGAGAATCTCTGCATTCCTGAAACCCTGGCAGTGGGACACACCAAAAAGAAAGGTTTTACATTAGTTAGCTATGGCATCAAAACTCAACTCCAGAACTTACTATATCCCTCAAGAATGCTTAAGCGTTCAAAGAAAATGGCATCAAATGAGCTTTGTTATTCCAGAGGAGAATTATAAAGATCCGTGCTTCTTCATAAACATACAAGAAACACGGCAGAGAACAAGTCATTGGTTTGTTAATGATGTTGCTTAATGCACTGCTGCAAAGTGTCTACATGCTGTGCTGAGAATTAACACAGCTATCACTAAACACATTCAGCCACTTGGTCATGTTGCCAGGAAACTGCTGCCACTGGCAGCCTGCTATATGGGAAAGATCCTCAGCAGTCATCACACCACCACCACCACCACCCCCCGTCTCTGTTTTCTTTTTAAAAACACTACCTAAAATTATCTTTTCCTTATAAATAAGATTCTATAATATAAGCAGCTCAGTCAGTTGTTCCTCAAGGGTAGAAATTTAATGGCTTTTTCTATTTCAGACTACAGGCCAATTCACAATTTGTTTGGTTGGTGCATCTACTATATTATGCTGCGCGTTACCCAAAAAGCTCTCTCCCATTCCTTTGGGGTATAGCTTCTGACTAAGAGATAGAAGTTATGTCATAAAAAGTACAGGGTTTTTTATAAATAAAAATCTAGGCTCAGTCAAAGAAGAAATTGGAACTAATTTTGATAGCACTGATAGAGGAACCAGCACTCTCTTCTCATAACGTCTACAAAAGCAAGGCTCACTTCTTCTGGCAGGTATATTTTGAAAGCTGAGCCCCATTAATAAACTATCAACTTCTTCAGAAATGAGGATCATCCAGTGCCCAGTTTGGGGTTTTTTTAAACAAAAAACATCAGGAGAAATAAGCTTAATTTGAATGACACTCATGGATTCCTCTTTTCTTCTACATCTAAAAGAAGCTACCAGATATAGAAAAAAAGAAACCAGGATCTTCAATGACAAAAATTTGTCAAACAATGACAACTAGATGCATTTTCTCATTCTCTTGTTGATGCCACCACAGCTATTAACAACAATGTATCTGGACTACGAAACAAGTGGAGTGTGACAACTTGCAGTTGCTTTTACATATAATTACACATACTAAGTAATTAAGCGCAGTCAGTGCTTTTATACCTTTGAAAATGAACTGGCTACTCAGTGCCAAACCTAGGCTCATACCTTGGACACACAACAGGCCAGAATATATTTAAAAATATGGTTAAGTCTCCTGCACACAGAATTGTTAAAGTGTCAAACACCTTTGACAACTTTGAGGATGTCAGACATCATCTCCTGGGTGACTACCTGGCTCAGATAGCATCCTTAGCAGAGTAACAGTTATGTTGCTCAAAAGATTTTTCTCTTCTTCAAAGTCTGCTCTCTCGCCCTCCTTTCTCTAGTCACATCAACAAGAAGCTCCAGCTCCCTGTGGACAGCTGGGCAGAATTTGCAGCCCTCTAAAACTTCACTTCCTCTCCCAGAAAAGGATCCGACCACAGCAGACAAGAGGTGTAGCCTCTGTAACAGGGCATGACAACTTGCTTGACCTGAAGATGAATATGAAAACACAAACGCTCCAAGTTGGATGCACCTCTTCCACAATCCAGGTTTTGAGCTTCAGCCCTCCAGTGGGCCACTGATATCTTGATCAAAATGATCAAAACCAAAAAACATATCAGCTACATTTAAAAGAGCACTTCAAATTGCGTTCCAACAGGATCAATCTCAGATAACACGAAGCACACAAGAACTCAGTGGAAGGGAAAATGCAGGTTTGAAAAGAGCTTCCAGGAATGAATCCTGGTTCAGTCCACTTTCTCAGGGCAAAACCAAATTTCTGCTTGATAAACTGTATTACCATAACAAAAATTACACACGAGTCCAGCTGCTTCTTGTTGCTCCACCAATCCACAAACTTCTACTTAGTGCTTCTGCCAAAAACGCCATCTTCTTCTGCTGAGCCTTTTATAACTTAAGAATCTCATTTATACTCTTCTCCCTCCCCCTCTTTTTTTTTTTTTCTTCTTTTTTAAGTGCTAGTGCCCCAGAGGTCTTCAAATGCAGGATGCTGATTTCAGGAGATTGCCCACAAAGCACCGAGGGCTCTGTACTGCAAACACTGCTATGCTTCCTTGTTTATATCCAACTTTTCAAGGGGACTCCCTTCTCAATAGATCATGAGTTCCACAAGCAAAGCAGTACCTCAAGCCACACGCGCAACTCAGTATCTCTCATCAGCAAGCGAAGGGGAGGAGATGGGACTTTAAAAGAAACTGTCATTTTAAACAAGTCATAAATGGCTCAACTCAACTGCAAAATGATACCCGGACATGAGTTAAATCAGCTCCTGCTCTTTATGTTCTTGCTGCAAAGCCCATGTTTCCACATCCCATTTGGCTTTACCAGGTGGTCAAGAATAAAAACATCTAAAAAAACCTAATGAAACAAATTGCAGTGTATCAGTGAGTAAAGCAGTAACTCCCAGAACAACATTCTTAAATAGCCTCATCTTAAAAACACACTAGAAGAACGGCAGTTGGCTTATCCAAAAAAGAAATTACACAATTTCCTAATAAAAAGCAATTACAGGCGATTAATGGACACTAGGAGTAACAGAATTTGAAATTATTTTCTAAAGACAGATCTGGAAGAGGACCAGAGTAACATATAATATTAAAATAATAATAATCATCATCTAGTTTATCCTTGGATTTTTTGAATTATATTCAATTCAAGATACTACAAAAGATCTGGAAAAACAAACAGCTTTATTGATGTGCCCAGCCATTACACATTTTCTTAAAGGCGATATAATTTAAAATAAGCCATTCCAATTGCCAAAGAGCATTCACTAGTAGAAAAGGGTTTCTTCAGCTCTCTCAAAAACTTCTTCCCAGTTCTCCAGGTCTCATGTGCTCCAGGTGCCCTACAGTCTGTGGGGTCTCAGAGTGAAGCGTTTTGCTGGTGGGCAGCACTGGTAACCGAGGCAGACAGCAGAAGCTGGAGAAGTTTGGCATGGTGAGAGACTTTCAGTGCATGAGATGCCTGATACGCAGCTGTGAGCCTCCTCAAAGAGTCGATGCTTCAGAACTGCCCTTTACCAAGTAAATGCCACAAAAGCACAAATCAACAGACTGGTGCAGGATGATGTACACAAGTTCTGCCCATAATCACTTAACAGGAAAAGGGGTCAGAGTTTTTCAACTCAGAGAATAGTCAGCTATACTCAAGAGACACCCATAAGCAAACAGCAACACGGAAGAACAAGTAGCAAGCAAATGTTTTGGTCCTAGTCTCCAGTCTATCTCAAACCAGCATAAAAAACAAGCAGCTTTTTCTGTCACCAGAAGAAAGAAGTGCGTACTGACAGTCTGTTAATTGCTTTTACGGCTAGAAAAGAGACTGTACGCTCGCCACTGTCCAAAGTACCTCAGAGACACAAAAGCACACAGCAATATCGTCAATGTATTTTTCTGGTTTTGAGTGCACTTTTGCATGAAACTTAGCATTTTCACACCTAATTTCAAACAAAGAGGATACTATAAAAAAAAAAAAAGTACATTAAGTAACTAATAAAAGCATCCATTATCATACATGGTTTGCATCTAACCAATGTCAAGTCTCAGATACAAAAGAAATGGCCTTTAGAGACCAGCATGCTTACCTCTGTATTTGGTTGTAGTGCCTGTCCATCCTGGGCTGCAGATGGTACTATTGCCCATGTAATGTTGGCACTAGCAGATGATAAAGAGCTGAGGGCACCGTTTTTCAGTTGCTCTGTGGAGTGTGACTTGGGCCCAGGCCATCCCAGGATACCTTCTGAAGCAGAAAATGAGTGTCAACTCACACGAGAGATTACAGATCTCTTCCATTCATCTCATCGTTCTACTAATATAAATGAATTGCTATCTCTACTCTGCTTCCATGCATAGTTTTACTTTAATAACAAAAATACTCAAGCATCTTTTATGCCAATTTATCTGTGATAAGTTTTTATTTTTTAAAAAAAGTTAATGAAGGAGGATTTTAAAATGTTACTCCTACTACCAGACAGAATTATATATAAAGATTATACAATGTAGCACACCTTGGTAATTAAGCAAGTATTCTCTATCCACAATTTTCATAGCTATGAAGTCATCCAAGTAAACCCTCCATTTCTTCCGCCTGAAATCAGTTTTAAGTTCAGCAGCTGTATTTTATTTCTGGCTGTACTATTAAAAGCTCTTTCTAGACTAAGTGCTAAAATGCTTTACCGGTCCCAAGACCACAGTTGAGAAGAGGTCTCATTAGAAAGATACACATTAAATATGAGTCAAACAGAACTAGACATCAGAACCACCCTTATTTCTGGGGACACCTGATTTCCAGGATGGGCTAGTATTGAAGGATGCCAAGACAGAAAGAACAATCAGCTAAGGCTGAGTTGTTCCTGCTTTACTACCCTAAAACATAGAATCAACATTCAAATCAGTAGCCCTCAGCATAGGTCTTAAATTTCAGCTATTAATTACACACTGCTATAAAATGCAGAGATATGGATAAGAAAATTGCAGCTCTTCAGTCATTACCATGATTTGTATATGAAAATACAATTAGTGCCACAGGGAGGATCTCCTCTCATCACTGACAACTTTTTAAGATGACCCAAATCAACACAAAGTACATTAAAGAACATGCAGTTTCTCTTCTCCATATCAAGAGGAGTTACTAGAGGTTGCCTCCTAATTAAAGTAAATGCTTTGATCAAGTGAGGCAATGCTTTTGTAAATGGGCCAGGAATTCTATAGCTAACCTCTTACCAAATTCTAAAGATAAAATAACTACAGAACATTCCTCTCATCTAAAATGGCACTAAGTTATGATGACATGACAAAACTTCAGGTCTACTTAGTGTGATTTTTGTGGCACCACCTTTTGCTGGAGAAAGCAAAAGCAAACAGTTAGGTGTAAAATGATTTTCAAAGATCTGAGTAACCAACAAGGGGGAAAAAATCCAGCTTTTTTTTTTTTTTTTTTTTAATGTGTATTTCACACAATGGCTCAAATTTCCCATTGCCAAAGGAAGAACATCTCTGTAGCTCTGCTGTCAGGCCACATATTCCAAAGCTTTTCAGGTTTCACTGACTTTGAAGACTATGCCAGTGGAGGTAATAAGTCCTGGTCGAGTTATGTAAACCATGCGAGAGAGAACGCAAGTACCAAACAAAAGGTCATTTTGTTGGATTGGCTCTATACATTGGTCCTACGCATCAGGAAACTAACATCTGCCCCCATTCCAAAGATGGGAGTTAAACCAACACATGATGTTGGTATACATGGCAAGGAATGAAGAGCACAGAGACTATAGTCATAGTATCTCTTCGCTTGCTCCTCAGCTCTTGAACAATTTGCTGCCAGAAACAAAGGATAACCCCAGATCCCTCAAAGCAAGCTCTGATTCAGAGGATAATCTGAAGATTTGTTTTGGCAGATCCAAAATGGACTCTTGCTGAATGGGAGGAAAGAAGTCTACCGTCAGCATAAACAATAAAACTAAATTGGAAAATTTAAAATAAAAATGTTGGTTACTTGGAGGGAATTCACATGTCTGCAAACCATTAAAAAAAATTTACTCTTTTTCATGTTAATTCATTTTCATGTTACAGATTTCAAAAGAGGAAATAAAAAGCAAGAAGTAGTTATTCAAAAGTTTTGCTTTTTAATAGCCACAAAGACTTTTATGGAGCATGCCTATGCTTCACACTCTTTGTTACTTTGCAGTAACAAATCTCAATCTATTTTTCTGTTTCTCCCTGTCAAACAGCTGAATATTGGATTATTGCTGCTATTTTCCTATTACAGAGACACTAAAAAAAAATTACAATTGAACTGACTTCTCTTTATGGCAATCTTTGAAAATAAGTCATCTGATCATTCCTTGGGCTACTAATTTTCTCTCTGTGCACACATTCTATTTGGCCTTCACTGTAATAATTATTTTTTTTAATTACTTTTTTTTTAAATCTAACTTCTGTAAATAAACACAACAAAAAGCTCTGACTTGAATAAATACATCGCTTCAGGGGAAATTTTTAAGTATGAACATTTACTTCACCATCACTTACGTATTTTTAAAAGCACTATACTAGTTTTACTCTTCAGTACAAGCACACCGTAAAAAGACTATTTACTTCATCTTTCTCCACACATTTTAGAGACTCTTACAAAAATAGAATCTGTTAGAACTATGCGAGCATGTTTTTCCACCTGTCCCAAGGGCAAGGCTACCCTCACAAAACAACAAATCTTGTCAGCTTAATCAATTTTTAAATTGACCTTAACAACACATTACGACCTAGCCAACACCAATAAGATGTCAAGAGTTAAGGTCCAAAGGATAAAGCACATCTGTTTCCTCAACACCTCTGCATGTCAGAAAAACTGTTTTGTTAAACACTGCCTGCCTGGAACTTGACTACTTTGCAGAAGAGACATATGCAGTAGAAAATATTAGTCATACACCCTAGAAACCTAAATAAATAAAAAGTCAGCTCTCTGAACAAGTTGAAAAAATTCCATGCCTAGTTTCAAAGTGCCATCAGGGAACCTTTGATGATCTTTAATCTACATATCTTACTGTGCAATGTCAGCGTTCTCGTATCATCCCAAGGGAGTTGCTATATACCTAATACAGCAGCCTACTTTTCAGGCAAAAGCAACGTATGAAGAGAGAACTCATCAGAAATAATCTTAAAATCAACTAAGATCAGAATACAATCTCTACACAGAAAGTGAAAGGACACAACAACATGGCTCCTACTTCACTCACCTTACCAGTTGTACATCTGAAACATTCTCATCTGCAGTAGCAGAAATTACTCTTACTACAAAATCGTACAGGTGGTTGTTCTCTGTCCTGTATCAAATCATTTTACTGGAATTTACTCTTCGCAGACTAAGCTGCCACCTGTAAATACCATGATCCACTCCAATGGAGTTGCCATCTTTGCCACTTTGTGGCACTCAAAATTTTCTATCGCTAGTTCAATTCCTGTTCTTTTAAAGACTTTGAGAAGAAAAAAAAAAAAGACATAAAACCTTAACATATTATGAGAAAGAAAGTTTATCTTCAGAGCTGGATAAGAATAGGAAGAAACTGCTCTTGCTGGTTTGTTTTTAAGGCAGCTTTTCGCTCTGTTCTCAGTTATAGCCAAAGACAGTTGACAGAAAGGTAAATTCAATTCCTAATTTGATGTATTTCATAATTCTAAAGAAATTCTCCTGAAAGTCAGTCACAAATGACACAAAAGCATTCACAGCGACACAGATACTTTACTATTTGCTTTAAGACTGCAAAGCACTACACCAATTAAAACAAAATATCCATTTCTGCAGTAAGCGATGCAAAAATTAGAAAGAACGTACCAAATACACAACTAGTAAAATCAGCCAGATCTCTTCTGGCTGCACAGTGTTGGTTCTGTGGTTCCGGGATTGAAAACCCAAGCCTGATTCCTCTGCAAGTTCAGTGCACATGTACACACAAAATAAGAGTTCTTACAGAAAATACCCGAAAATGAGCTTCCTTCCCACTTCTCAACACCAATTTCTACTGTGATGAGCAGCAGCAGACAAATCCACCAAGGCACAGGAGAACACTTCTACACAAGAA